TTTAATTAACTATATGGGTTTGTCCAAGAAATTAAAAAAAATAACTATATTCCAAAATTATTTTAATCTTACATTTTCTTTTTTGATATATATTTTATAAGTTTATATACACATAAGTATATATTATAAATAATAATTTTATACGTTATAATTTCTGTAACGTTAATATAAAATAGAAAGTAAACATGTGTATATATAAAAAATATATACTAAAAGTATATATATAATAGCAATTGTAATTTTTTATAAATTAACACAATATATAAAATATATGTATTAAAAGATATTATAAGTTAATTAATAATCATAGTTTTATAAATTAATTTAATTAATAATATAAGTTTATCTTTAATTACATACAATTAAAAAATATATTTATAATTGAGTTCAGGTATCGGGTATCCAAAAAGTGGTATCTGAACCCGATACAAGTGGTCAAATTACTATCCAAATTTTACCTTAATTCGATTATAAGATACCCTAATTCTATATAATCGAATCGAATACTCACAAATACCCTGTAACATCTTTATATAAGAGAATAAATATAAAAATACACATAGAAAACTCGTTCTTTTTTATTTTTGTTAAGAAACTATGCTTCAATGTTTTGATGTTAGATTGAGAAATGCCTTGGCTCTGACTTTAAAATCCATAAGCAGCTGCCTGTCTCATTTTAAAATTTAATTAAATTTCAAAATAAATGTCCTCTTAATAACTGTTTTTTCAATTACACTCATTTCCATTTACATGTCAGCAAATATTCTTTCCAAGTAAAACAAAATTGTATTGATTGACGGAATTTCTGGTTTATAATATGCGACAAAATCCATTTGTTTCGATTGCATCCCAAATGAAGTCAACTTGATTTGCATCCCTATTAAGTTATGATCAAATTCCGAAGAACAAATCTACACCCTTTATTAAAAGTGGGTTCCACTCACCGAATCAACGCAGGGGGTGGTGGTCTGATTGTAAGCGCACGTGGTTGGCCTCTGTCAGCCGATTCCTATAGTCTCACCTGCCAACCAATCTCCACGTGGCACGACCTCAGTGTCACTTGACGTGTTCCATACCAAACATTTTTCTATTGGTTTTCCCTTTTATAAATTAAAATAAACAAAGAAAAAAAAAAGGCAGTTTGTTATTGGCTTGTTGCTTTACGCCGACCGTGGACTCCACCGCACCTAATAATCTGTTACTCCACTCTTCTTTTAAATAACGGCGGTTAACGTGGAAACCCCGCCCCCTTTCCAGGCCAAAGCAACGAATAAAAAGCGTTAAATGGTTAACGGAACCACCACCACTTGAGTAGCTGAAGCGGCTGTTCCACGCTACGTTTCGATTTCGCTCTCCGAAAACGAAATTTTGTATTAAAAAATGAAAAAAGAAAAGGCTTTTTGACAACGACACGCGTCAGCTACGTTCCTTAGCTAACAGACCCCAAAAAGAAAAAAAAAAATCAAGAAACAATGCTTTTACAAGTATTCTAGAAACGATAGAGAGAAAGAGAGAGAGAAAGCTTTTCCTTCCGTTTGGAGAGAGAAAAGCCCGCCTTGTAACCTAAAGCAACAGATTTTCTTTTCTCATTTCTTTTAAGCTCTGGCTTTGATTATTATATATATATATATATGTATAAAGAAATAAGGAGAGAAATTGAAAATTCAATCATCCGTTTTTCGTGAATTTAATCTCTCTTAATTCTTGTGAAATGAATGCGGTTTTTTTGGAGGTATATTCGAATACGTTTTCCTTTTTTATTATGTGGTTATTTATTGAAGCAATAATAATGCCATTGAATTGAAGGCTCTGTTTTGATCTTTCAATCGTGTTTGGTATGGTCTTCACTTTTGGATCTGATGCGATTTAATTTCGTTTCTTTTTCTCTTTTTCTGACTAGTAATGATTTTTTTCTGTAAATGCTGATGCGTGTCCTTTTTTGTCCATTTCTGTTTGAATTTGTGGTCAATTTCGTCGTTTGTCAACAGCAACGAGCTGTAACAGAGAATCGTACAGATCTGGAAGATTTGCTGGGATATTAAGTAACAGCGTCTCATTATTTCTGAGATTTTCTGCGTTTGTTTGGTTGCAGATACAATTCTGATCTCGATCTCGGATACAAATTACAATGCCTGGTAAATTTTGCCTAATTTTACCCTGTTTCTAACGAAATTGAGATCAAAATGGTGATTTGTTTATTGATTTTTTTTCCTATAATCTCAGGAGAGGTAATTTCGGTTCAAGAAAATGAAAGGTTCAGAAAGGAAGGGAATTTGGATTTCGAGACGTCTGAGGACGAGAAAAGAAGAACAACGCGAGGGAGATCTTTGAAGAAAAAAGCGATGACTGCTTCAACGAAGCTAACGCATGGTCTAAGGAAGAGAGGTAAACGCGTTGCTGATGGCAAATACGCTGCAATTTCAATCGAGGATGTAAGAGATGCGGAGGAAGAGAAAGCAGTTAGAGCTTTTCGCCAGGCATTGCTTGCGAAAGATCAGCTTCCGCCACGTCATGATGATTACCATACTTTGTTAAGGTAATCTAACCAATTATTAGATTTTTTATTGTAGTTTTCCGGAGAAAGTTTGCTATTCATTTTGTGTGGTTAGTTAACATTAAACTATGTTGGTAAGATAATGAGATCATTCTATTGAAGCAAAACTGTGCTGTTTTAGGTTTCCCGCGATAGCTTGAATGACAAGGTACTGAATATTGCAATCCATTTCAAGCTTTGAATTGTATAAAATTGACTTTAGGAAGAATTTTATTATCTGTTTATTACTGAACACCATATTTCCTATATGTTCTCGAATTTTCAAAGTTTCCTGTCTTTCTTAGGAGTTTGTAATTATTTCACAAGCAGTAATCGAGAAGGCAATTTTTGGATTGTTTATTTAAGCTTGACGTGTATAAAATGTGTAGGTTTTCCAGAAAAAAGGTTCATTGGGATTTTAAGAAAAATCATCAGATATGTTTCTTGATTGCTTAGTTGGCAGTTTATTGGTTACAAAGAGTGGATGCCTGGTGCACTATATCAAATCAACTTCAGTTTACTTATTTCATGAACTGCAACAGCTCCCTTTACTGAGTTTGGTCATTGCACTAGGTTTCATCATCAAAATTGTAGCAGCAAGAATTTTGGAAGTGTATCTCCCTCTAAAATAAATTGTTTAGAATTCTATTGTCTAACGAGAATGATTTATTGGTAGCCTCTTATTCCAATAAAATAATGATTTCGTATCTTGGAATTTTGTGCTTTAGATAGACATAATGCAAATTTCTCTTCTGGAATTGTAGTGACGCTTGAGATTTAGAGTTTGTGTCTGATTAGGAGTTAAGCTGGTGAATCCCCTCCTTAACCACTGATTTTACTCTAGGCTAGGCTTTCAAATCCAGTAAAGCTCGTCTCCTACCAGATGTTGAAGCTCGGCTCCACTTTAAATTGTTTTTTTTAAAACAAATATTTCTGCTATAATCAATATTCCCCATCCCCACCCCAAGCACTCCTTCAAAAAAGAAAAAAAATTCCATTCAACTATTTTATTCAATTTCAAAAATCTGGAATTTGTTTTTGCAGATTTTTGAAAGCACGGAAATTTGACCTTGATAAAACAATCCAGATGTGGGAAGATATGCTAAACTGGAGGAAAGAGTACGGAGTAGATACTATTATACAGGTAAAAAGTGCTTGTATCATCTTTAAACTTGGATTATTCAGGTTTCTTCTGCTCTACTTATGATTAGTTGATGGAGATAAGCAACAAATGTTTTACTGTCTCTGGCAGCTGTAAAAGTTTTTCTAGTTGATTCTGAAAGTTGTGCTAGCTACCTTTTCTGTTGGTAATAGTTTAATTTTTCATAGTTTTAACAGATGCTATGATGCATGTGCAGGATTTTGTATATGATGAATACGAAGAAGTCCAGCACTGTTACCCGCACGGCTACCATGGTGTAGACAAACAGGGTCGCCCTGTTTATATTGAAAGAATTGGTAAAATTGACCCTACCAAGCTGATGAAGGCCACTACAGTGGACAGATTTTTGAAATATCACGTACAGGGTTTTGAGAAGGCTTTCATGGAGAAGTTTCCAGCTTGTTCTATTGCTGCGAAGAGGCACATAGATTGTACAACCACAATATTAGATGTGCAGGGGTTGGTTAGTGTTCATAAATTACAGAACATACATTTCATGCAATTTTATGTTTCTCATTATGTCCTTTATGCAGAACTGGATGAGCTTTGGCAAGGTTGCACATGATCTTGTAATGCGCATGCAGAAAATTGATGGTGACAACTATCCTGAGGTGGCTTAATTATTTCATTAAGCTGAAGAAAAAAAATATTATATCTGACTTATTCATGCATAAATTCCTCAACTGTTACTGATGTAAGCATTCTCTCCACAGACTTTGCATCAAATGTACATAGTTAACGCTGGAAGTGGATTCAAACTACTATGGAACACAGCAAAAGGCTTTCTTGATCCAAGGACTACTGCAAAGATTCATGTACAAGAATATTGAAACATGTGATCATGAAGAAATATATATACACCTTGATTCATGCTTTGTTCAATTTTGGGAGGTTGGATTTCAACTAATGAACAAGTATTCTTTGATTATACAGGTTCTTGGGAACAAATTTCATAATAAATTATTGGAGATTATTGATCCAAGGTTGTGATTACTTCTGTATTATTACTGCATAATCTGACTGCCTGCTTATGTTCTGACTTTTGTAACTAAACTTGTTTGTCAAAAAATCTCTCAAGCAGCCAATTGCCAGAGTTTCTTGGTGGAACTTGTTCATGCCCTAATGATGGTGGGTGTCTTAGATCAGACAAGGGACCCTGGAATAACCCAGAAATAATGAAGGTTGGATCCTTGTCAGTATTCAAAGGAAAATGTAGAAATGATTGTAGCTTTAGTAGCATTCCTCTCTCTTCATGCATTTTGATGTCTGAGAAATTAGGCTCCAAACTGATGCCCTGATTATCATTTGATGCCCTAAATGTCATGCCCGTATTCTATTTTCAGTTGATACATTCGGGAGATGCCTTGTACTCGAGGAAAACAGAAAGTTCTTCCGAGAATGACAATTTGGAAGTCAAGTTTTTGTCTACTAAGGTTTCTCCCACCCCCTTTTCTATTGATCAAATTCCCATTTGTTTACTATCAATTTATCATCATATAGCTTTCCATCTTTTCTATGTTAATTGGTTCTTTTGCAGGTTGCAAGTAGTGAAATATCTTATGCTGATTCAGTATCTGATATGAGGCCAGATACCTTAGATTTCATGCAACTAGTGTCACTGTCTGACAAAGTAAGTATTTCAAAGAAATCGGTTGTACCTTGCTGTTCTGACTTCTGTTTTATGTTTTAACTTTAATTATGAATTTGTTCTAGCGATTAAACTTTATGATCCTTGTTTCTTTGTGCTACTCTGCAAAAATATTATTTAATATCTATTAATTCTTGTGTCAGGTAAGGATGAATGGTTCTAATTCTATGCATGGCATTACTGAATCAGAAATTGCTGCAAGAATTGAAGACGCTAGTTCAATAAGTGAGCACTCAGCAATCCTATTTGAACATTGGATTTGTGCTTATGTTCTTGATTCAAATCAGATCATTCAATTTTTTATAAATGTGTTTTGTGGTAGGGTTCTAACATGTAATTGCAGATAGTTGTTCCAACTATCTCATAGTAAATAACCATCATTTAGACCAATAAAGGCGGCATAAAGATAAGCAGTAGCAATAATTAATTTTCTGGAATCTATTGGACAAACTATGTCCTATTGCCCATGCTTTGAAGATATGGAAGTTTGTAGTTCTGCGTGTGCTTTCTTTGCCCATGCTGCGTTTGAACTTGTATGCCCAATCAAATTTTGAAGTGTGACTCTTAAACTTTTAACAAATATAGTTGCTACTATATCGTAACAAATAACTATCTTATAGACCAATACTGGCAGGATTAAGCAAAACTAGTAGCCCTAATAAATGTTGCCATGTGTAGGACAAGCTATGCTCAACCAACCTTGCTTGATTAGGATATGGAAGCCTGTAACTCTGTTTCTGGTTTCAAGTGTAGGATTAAGCCAAACTAGTGGCCATGCTGGGTTTGAACTTGAATGCTCAATCAAAATTTCAAGTGTGACTTTTAGACTGTTAATGAATCTGACTTGCCATTATTGCATAAGAATGCTATGTCCTGTTTATCAGCACTTGAACTTCTTATTGGCCATGCTAATTTATCTCATGTAAGCTAAATATTACATTTTAATTTGGTGCTGTTGACAGATAATCTAACTCCGGATATTACTCCAAGGAATCCAGGAAAGAAGTTTGGTCTCCATGTAATGAGTTTAGTGCTTCACTTTGTATTCAAATTGTTAGCATGTATGTATTTCTTAGTCCCTGGACTGGGAAGATTTTTAGAAGTGCAAGATGCAAGACGACAAACAGAAAATGAGTCAAATCCCCAGATGGCAGGCTCAGGCTCTCTAGACAATGGTATTTTGTCAGAAGTAGAAGAGGACTCACTCCATCCATGCTGGCAGAGGCTACAACATTTGGAAACGTTGGTAACGGAGCTTTATAACAAACCCACGAAAATTCCTCCTGAAAAAGAAGACATGCTTCTTGACTCATTGAATCGTATTAAATCTATTGAACAAGATTTACAGAGAACAAAGAAAGTAAGACCTCTTTCTACAATTAGTCTTGTTTGCAACCAGTTTTGTGCCTTTGTACAATCTGGTTACTGAACGCAGACTTAATTTTTGTAGGCATTGCTTGCAACTGCATCAAAACAAGTAGAGCTTGCTGAGTCATTGGAACATTTAAAAGAGAACAACTTACCTGTAAGTTTCTATTTCCTCGGGGAAGAAAATATAAAACTGGGTCTGGTATTGCTTCCTTAGGGAGATAAGAATGAGTTTTAACTGTTTAGTGTAGGAAAGTAATTTGTCACGCTAGCCCGTGTTCTGATTGCTTGCCTAGGTGCTGTGATGTCAGCCCATCCAGATGGCAAGGTGTATGAACTAGATGATGAATAGTGGAACAGATTTATAATAAAAACAAGCCTGGGTGGGAAATAAAGTTTCACCATGCTACTCAAATTATGATCACAGTGATACTTGTTAGTAATAGGTGCAGCGTATGCCTGAATAGTTGAAATTCTTGATTTATCCATTTCTTATAGCCAAAAGAAATATGGGGAAAGCATAGATGCTCCACAACAACAAAAGCTGTTGCAATTTGGTAGTAAAGCTGTTACCAAAGCTTCCCGAGAAAAAGAAAACCCGTAGTTTCTGTGTTGTATGAAATCTAAACCTGCTAGTTGGACTCCCTAAATACCCTTTCATCTAGGTTCCATTATTTTCTTCTGAGTTTTCAGAAATTTAAGGTGCATTCATGTTGTATTATCCGTAGAATATGTAATTTTGTCTGTCATTCATGGAAATATATTGGCTTTTAAGTACTTGGGCAATATATATGTATATATATTTCATTCGTTACTTGTACATACGGAATTAGTAATGTAATTGATTGCTTTTGTATATCTTCAAATAAAGTGCACATTTTGATGGTATTGCCTGTGGCATTAGCAGGGGACATATTCATGTTGGCGAAGAAATTATAAACCTTTGAACCCAGGAAGATGAAATTGCAGTTTGCGTGTTTGCTTGATTGTGCTGAGGTAGCCAATATGCATCTTCTGTTGTCTCTCAACAATGATAAAACTGCAAGATTTGGAATTCTTTTGGCTGATTCAAGCAGGTTGACTAACTCTTTACATTAGTCTCACCTCTCTCTCACATTCTGAATGTTCCATCTCATTATATTATTCTCTTTGGCAGTCAAGGTTGATGCAAGGCAGCTGTCAGATCACTGGAGAGAGCTAGTATGTGGGAATTAAATTCTCTGTGAGAAGAAGCATGCTAGGTATAGATGCAGTTGTGCATATAGGTTTTAAAGTTTCTGTACATAGTATGATTTTCCCCCCATTTTTTGGTCTTTGTCGTAGAGAACAAGTATACGAGCGAACTCGTTCATAACAATAAACATACACATTAAAAGGAAATTAGAGACATGTTTCAGCATTTTGTACTTTTACATTGGCGTTTGAGATGCTTCGAACTGCAAATCTTTGACTATCATAAAGCAAAGATATCTGTGATTTCAATTGATGTCTATCAAAATGGAGTGAGTAATAGAATGATAATAGATAATAATCACTTCCCAATTAATCCAATGAACTTTAAATAAGACTTGATTAAAAACCAAAAATGGAAAGGGAAAATCTTCAAATGAAATCCAGCCAAGAGGTGGGATTCAAAATATTTCCTCCCGTGAGATGGGCCATGCACAATAATAGCGTAGGGGAACACTTAGTCGGCCCATTTTTATTGATGTTAGGGGGACTGAATTCCAAGGGTTGATCCAGAGCAACATTTTAGGTCCGGATCCGGATCCGGATCCAATTCATTTTTAAAAAATGGAAACCAAAACCTCTTCCACCTATCCCACCCACTCCACCGCCTACCACCCCCTCCGCCGCCACTCCCCACCCTGCGCAATCCTTATAAAGATAACAAGGAAAAAAAAGAAAAATCCCCCATAAAAAAATAATGTCATATCCATCTCCAGCAGCCGACCCGCAACCCGCCAAAAAACCCCAACCCCTTCCGTGGACCCACCAAGAAACCCTCAATCTAATCCAAGCCTACCAAGAGAAATGGTATTCTCTCAAACGCGGCCAACTCAAAGCCAGCCAATGGGAAGAAGTCGCCGTACCGTCGCCGCACGATGCGGCCTCTTCGACGACTCTGCCGCCAAAACCGCCCTCCAGTGCCGTCACAAGATGGAGAAGCTCCGTCGTCGTTACCGCTCTGAAAGCCAAGGCGTCGCTTCGGCCTCCCTTTGGCCTTATTACGAAGCCATGGAAACTCTCGAGCACGGGCCTTTGCCTATCTCGGCTCGGCCGTTGACTTCCTTGGTTCCAAGCAGAGGGAAGAACTTTTATTCCGAAGATGGACATGAAGTTGGAAATATTTACGACAATAACGACGACGTGGTTGAGGAGGACGAAGAAGATGCTGAAGAAGAAAACCAGTTTAGTAAAAGCCGGAGTATTAATTATATTTTGCGGCGGCCCAGTGTTGTGAACCGGTTTTCGGGGCTCTTAAGTGGGGTGAGGAAAAGGGTTAGACCGGAAGGGGAAGGGGATGAAGACGTGGCAGTTGTGGAAGAGAACAGGGGAGCGGAATTAGCAGTGGAAATAAAGAGATTCGCGGAGAGGTTTATGAGGGTGGAAAGGAAAAGGATGGAAATGATGCAGGAGACGGAAAGGTTGAGAATGGAAATGGAAAATAGAAGGATTGAGATGATATTGGATTCACAGAGGAAAATTGTGGACGTGATCGCGGCGAGTTTGGGTCGAAGCAGAGAGTGAAGCTGGAGGAAGAAATGGATTCTTGAAGAAACCTTTTTAAGGTTAAAATGATTCAATTCTTGTTCTATGCAGCTTGTATAGACTTACTTGGATGGAGCTAACAAATTATTATTATTATTATTTTTTATGTGCAATTATTATTATCTTTCTCTGAAATTTTTGTCCAAGGAAGAAGAAGATATCATGTTTCTTAATTATCCATTGTTTGCTGTTGTTTATGAATTTCTTACTCGTGTGTTGGTGCTGCTGTAATATAACTAAAATACTATGGCTTCCTTGGGGGATGCTGTGTCCTATACGGGTTTGTTTCAAACATGGGCATGTCCAATTTTTTCAATTTTATTTTATGCATGTATTTATATCTATATATTTGGAGGGTTAGGGTTGGAGCTCCATACACAGGTAAGGAATCAAATCTTGAATGATTCCGTAGAGAAGCTTTGATTTTTCTACTTGCTTGCAGCTTGCATTATGCTTGTTTCATGCTTTTAAGAGTTCACTGGAGAGAACGTGCACACATCTTCTTCGGTGATTTGAGGGAAATATTATGGCTCTCTGGTGCATTCCTCTTCAGTACACTCAACCTAGTCTGATTCAACTTCCTTCTTTTTTTTTTTTTTGTTGTTGCTGATTTTCCTTGCAATTGAAGTATTCCTCCACATTTTTCACCAAAACTTTGCTGAAGTTGCTTCTGTTTAACGCGTTGTTGTTGGGTTTTAGAAGGAAGCGGATTAGGCGGTCTTTGGTTGGAATCCCAAGCTGCTGAGAGAAACACAAACTATGTTGTTAGCAATTTGGCAAGTAACCATGCCATAAAACATATTAGTTAGTTGCCCAAGGGGAGAGTGCAACCAACCCAGAAGCAGTTTATAAACAAACATGCATGATAATGGTGATTTTTGTCTGTCTCACTCACACATTCATGGGTAGAGTTGGATGGCCTATGTATGCCGCAGTTGAACGCATTGAATAACAGGGGAGGAACTATCATTGTTAGTGAAACCTCATTTATCATTCAAAAGCTTGTAGTCTATATCGTAACCTGAATGGACCCATATGCCAGAGTTGCAACCTGGGAATTTAGACTGAATATTCTTTCAAGCTATACTCGCTACTCAATAACCACCCGGCAGACTCGAGGCGACAACCCTTTTGTCTCTCATACAATTAAGATCAAAACTTATAGACACAGAACGAAGCAAAAAGTGAAACTGTTAACTTCGCATTATACATAATTTATAGCTAATTCAGGAAATAATCTGCACTAGAACACAAGTGTAGTTGCAGGGGCCAAGTAAAACATAGCACGAATAATTACCCATAAAGATCAAATACCATGCCAGCATCGTCAGAAAATTTTTTACATTGACATTGAATACTACTTTCTGGAGTCCCCATCAAAAGTTGGCCTCTTCTCAGACTGAAATTTGAAACAAATCAAAGGTCCAAAGTGAATTTCAGATCAGATCCCACCACATTTTGGATATTAAAACTTCAAAACAGGTTAGGACCAATGTTATACATCCACTACAATACTTGATGTCAAAAGCACAATGTATCGGGCATCAAGGTTGGAAGGCTTGTGACTAAAAGAACCAGCAGGATGTGGAAATGAAAACGGATCAGCGATTGAAAGTTGCTGCATTATGAAAATCTTAAGACTCTTACAAATTACAATAATTCATTGGGTGTCCATGGCAGTGACACATGCTGATCATTCCAATTCCACTGAACACCAGAAACCTTATATTCACAAAATTTCCGAAGGCATTTGCCCATAACAATGATTGCTACCCACTTGAACTGAAAGGGTAATAATACATGCACTAATCTAGTGGGGCAAAAAGAAATAGGGCCCCTCTGCACATGAGCAGGTAGACCATGGAAAAGGCGGGGAAGAAAGTACAAAATAAGGGAGATGAGACCCCTGTACAAATGCCTCTATATCTGTCTCTATCTTCCCAATACTCTAAACCAGTGGTAATATACATAATCCCCCAAAAACCCAAAAAAAAAAGTAGAAAAAAAAAAAGTCCATTTTTTCTGTGAATTTCTAACCTGCAAATAGCAACCACCTCTTTCCACATTGCAATGCCCTAATGGAGTAATCAGCTTCATCTGCATATAACCCACAGCGTAATTAGTGTCCACTCTCCATTCAAGTGAAAGAAAATTTATATACCAAAGAAACAAACAAAAGGGAACAAAACAGGTTTTCACAATCCAAATAGTATACATGCCCAAGCACCCACACAAGGCTAGCTCTAAAAGGTAAACAAGGATAAAAAATTTGAGATAAAGGCCTCCAATCAAGAGAGGGTGTGTTGGGAGTTAATAATCAGAGAAAAGCTTCAACAAAACCAATTCAAGCAACAATGTAAGAGAGAGAGAGAGAGGATATAATTTATCATCATAATGATATTACAACTATGATAATTCTTTATGTTTTCTTTTTTCCTAGTGATGACAACCTAACATAGAATATCACTATATCAGGTCAGCCTAAATCTGTAAATCATTATTACCTGTACACTGCTGTTACAAGGGCATGCAAACCCAACCATACAGGACCCAAGGCTGTTGGAACTGCTCCATCCACTAGATTGCTTCATTCCAGCTTAGAATTGGAAGGCCTGTGATACAAGCTGCCCTTTACTGCTTGCAGATGCGGAGTTTGCTGTAGTGACTGCTGCTGCAATGGCAACTGTTGTGGGGGTGAATTACGATGATCTTGTTGTAATTGATCCTGGTGTTGTTGAGATGGTGGCGGTGTGGAAGATTGTTGTATCTGTGGCTGTTGCGGCCACTGTGCCCCAGCATTATTCCCATGAGGGGGTAAGCCACCTGATAATTGTCTCTGCCCTAACCCTTGACTGACAGAAGGTACTGGATCACTACCAGCAGAATTTGTAAGAGGAGGGCTCCCTCTGGATCCCACTTGAGTGGCTACATTTGGCATACCAGGATCATACACTGGTTCTGATGATTTCCACTGAGAAACAACTGGTACCAAGTTGTTTGCTGAATCACCGCCAGCCTGAGGCATTGCCATGGTTGTGGTTGTACCCATCTGTGAAGCATTGCTCATGGGCTGTTGGTCCACTTGAGCTGGCTCAGCTTGAGATTTGCTGGGTGGATCAGAATTCACTTGTCGATTCTGTTGAAGCATCCTTTGAATGGGAGGTTGGTTTTGATTAACTTGCTTTTGGTGTGGCTGCGACTGTAGCTGCAATGGCTGGTGGTTCGGACCCATAGCTGCTGGCAGGACAGATTGATGCACAGCTGAAAGTGTATGACCAGAAGACACTGTTGAAACCTGGCCGTGAGTGCCACTATCAGAATGAGAAGCCATCTGCTGGAGTTGCTTTGTAGAAGGGGGCGTTGCCCCAGAAAATAGCTTCTGCTGCGGCTGGGAATGATTCAAAGGTTGAGATGAAACTAGAGGTTTTGATGGTTGGACAGGGCTCATACCAGACCCAGAATACAAGCCTTGACCTTGCATCAAGTGCATCATCTGCTCTCCTTTCTCAGCAGCTTGGTTGCCAGGGGCCATGGTAAGGCCATTCAGATGAGCAGGATCAACAGAAAGATTCTGATGCACCATCATGTTCCCTCTTCCCACTCCCTTCAAAAGCTTAGCTTGCTGTTGAGACTGTGTTTGCTGTCGTTGCTGAGGGTGGTGCCTGCCAGATTGTTGAAACTGCTGTTGCTGCTGCTGGGACTGCCGCTGACGATGCTTGCCTATCTGATTGGTCAACCCACTAGTACCAGGTTGGGGGTTCCTACCAAGCCCGTGAGAGGCCAAGTGGTGTTTCTGTTGGTGCTGCAATGACATAGGAGTCATTGGCGAAGATGGTGTTAGTGGGGGGAGTGATACTGGCTGAGTTGAAGGTTGAGATTGAATCTGGGAACTGTTCTGAAGAGAAGATATGGGAAGTTGGGTCTGAGGTTGGACGTGTGGCATCAAAGCACTTGATGCAGCAAACTGTTTCTGTTGCTGTTGCTGTTGCTGTGGCTGTTGCTGGTGCTGGTGCTGCTGCTGCTGCATAAGACGCTGCTGGTGCTGCTGCATTTGCCTTTCTTTAGCAAGGCGCATGGCGTAGGCTTGCTGCTGTGACCCAGTAGCATGATTAGAACCCTGAAGATGAGCATGAGAGTTGCTCAGTCCATGGGACTGCTGTGGAGACATTGGATGCTGCTGCTGCTGCTGCTGCTGCTGGGGGTGACCAGGATATGATTGAACAGGTGGTGCAGTCGATTGATTAGGGTAAGCAGAACTCAACCCATTGAAAGCAGAAATCCCCTGGCTGTTCCCTTGAGCCTGCATCTGGAGCTCAGGCACCATCAATTGCCTTTGATGCTCTGGATTGTGGCCAGGCTATTAAAAAAACAAAAAGAAAATCATATTAATTTAGAAGTCGTCCATCACATAATGTACAAGAATTATAGAGTTAAAAGTCATCAACTATTTAGAAGTTCAGTGCTATTTTAAATTAACAAAGTACGTAAGTGCCAAGTGAACCACAGCTCTGTACCCAGACGAATACTTCAAAGCTTAAGAGATGAGAATAATAGCTAATCAAAAAAGATATTAAACAAAGGTTTGTTAATATCAACAATTGATTGTAGAACAGCTGTACTCAACCAGACAAAATATCCTCCAAATTGAAGGCATTGAGGTCTACAACCCCAATTATATGGCCTATATTAATTCCTGAGTTTCAGTAAGTCATTACATCTGAAGAAAGTCATTATTTAGATACCCATAGTTCAATGGAACAAAATTTCCAATTTTGAAGATTTCATCTTCTGACATTAGTGGCCAAACAATATGGCACAGTGATATGAAGCACACACTTCCAAATGGAACAATTACATTGTATTTTCTGGTTGTCAGCCAGAGAACTAGGGAAAAAGAAAAATTTTTGGTTTACAGTCATTAAAGAAATTCACTCTGATGGGATTTTTTGCAGCAGGCAATCCTCAGTCATTGTAAGTTCCAATTACTTAATAAATTATCATAAAGCAGTTGATCAAAATCTATTTCTTTACACTTTCAATAGATTCCCCATAATTAAAATTGAAAATCCTTATTCAAACCTGTACGATTGAAGTCCCCGCATTCTGGAAATGGAATCAATGATAATTTACACTAATAACTGGGGGGAAAATTAATACTGATTATTGGTCTGTAACTATAACCAATTAACCATTTATATGGAATAAAGGAAGCCCAGTAGGCTTAAGCTTAGACTCACACTGCTCTTTGAGAAGTACATAACTTACTCGCATCATGTGCACGGTGTCACGTGGTCTCAACACTGAGTTTCCTTGACCAGAACCTGGTCCAGAGTGCATATTCACAGGGGTTGGTATTCCCACCATATTGGAGGAGAGCATGCTGCCAGAATTCAGCATTGCTGATGATGCTATTCCTTGGAAGCCTGGCCTTGACATTGGCATGCTTCTATTCATCCCACACATCATGCCCAAACCGTTTCCACCAGGTATCATACGAACCCCACGATCTGATCCAGAAATAGCCCCAGGGACAGACAAGTTGGACTGCTGAATATTCCTGCCAGATAACATTTGATTATATTGCATTCTATGCTGCTCATCAGCTGGCAAAGATGTTCTTGGAACACCGTATCTACCATCCCTGAGAGCAAATATGATCCAGAATTTGTGCCGTTAGTATGTGAAAGTATACCCACTGAGAATGAAAGCTACACATCAGCTTAATACCTGACAGATGCATTGAGTGGGGCAGATGGCGATGGCAAATTACTGCCGAGAACCATGCCAGAAGATCCCTGCAGTGAGGAATTTGCTCCAGAGGCAGGAAGCATTGATCCCACAGCTCCTTGATTCGATATTGCTAAACCACTAGCATGAGAAGCTTGATATCCAAGGTGTAGAACATCTTGGCTTGATGAAGTGGCATCACAAAGATCAAGAGGCCTTTATCCAGACAACAAAAAATAAAATCATTTTGCATCACATTGCATTAAAAGCGACAACTTAATAAGAAGAAAAATGAAAAACGTAAAAGTGAAAAGCTAACAAAGATGAATGAATTAACAAGCTAAAACATTAATCAAAAAGGGCAAGCAAAGCTTACGTTAGAACCCCTCCATTAAGGTTATTCGGGCAAACTTGCGAAAGAGCAATAACATGAGAATTGTGGACTGGCACTATCTGCTTTGGATCCTGGTTATCATGCTTCACAACACAGAACAAGATATAAAGGCCAAGTCAGGAAAGTTTGGAAGACTCAAGGTGAAGAAAACAAAGAAAATTTAAGATGCTTTCAAGTATTAAGCCTGCAGCTTTTGTTCAACTCCATACTTTTTGCCACACCACTGAATGCTAACACAATTGTTCAACAAAAGGTGAGAAATTTCTCAAAGTAGAATAAATTTAGTTTGAAATAGAATTCAAAAATTCTTTAAGAGCACAATCTAATGTTAAACAAAGTGCATCGAACAGTGGGGCACAACATCCCTAGTTCACAGACAGTTAATTCAATTCAATGTTTTCAAAGAAAATCTAAAATTTCAAGTAGCACAACATCATCCACATATTTTTTTATTTAAAAAGAAGGATAACAGTGCAGTGGTGTCAATCAGAAGGCAACTGTGCATAATAGACACAATGCAAACAAGTGCCAGTTTGCCAATTTCCTTGAAGCACAGATTCAAATGTTTCAAAATGACAGGAGTACAGCAAATCTAGTATATTTTATATCAACAAGTCCCATGCAACTTCAGAAATTAAATTAACATTGCACAAAAGTCTTTTTAAAATGCCATAGTCAGAATTTGCATCAACCTGATACGAAAAAAAAAACTGAAAAAATGAAATTACTCAAGATAACAAAAAGATTACCTTCAACTAGTTGATTAAATCAGCCAGATTTGATTGTATAACTACCAACATGCAGAAACTCTAGAGATTAAATAAATGTAATCTAAAATTCACAAATGTACCTGACTCCGACGGAAGTGCTGTTTCTTGCCAATAAGTATAATTTTCTCAAAATGAGACTTAAGAGTATCCTCTTCCATTGGCCCCTGCAAACGTTGAAACAACTGTCTGGCACTTCCCTGCATGACATACAGCAATTGAAGCCAATCATAGAAGAAAAATTAGCTCAATGTAATATGTCCCACATCAATACATTATCAAATATGAATCTACTAGCTTTGAGGAGAGACAGAACCTTTGGAATGCCAGGCAACGTAGATGGATATGACTGAGAAGAACCTGAATCATCAGCACTGTCAGCACCATCCCCACTCCTATCCATTAAAACTTTGTGGCGTTCCTTACACTCTTTAGGCTTGCGGAATATGCACTGAACATGTTGAGAAGTTCATGAGATTATTTCCAAATGGAGGAAGGTGGAAGGGAGGAGGTGAGGGGAAAAAGAAGGAAATAAAACAAGTAGGTCTACTGCAGATATAGAAAGAAATATATAGATAAATGAAAGACCAAATAGCACTTTTAGAGGATAGACGCATCATTGGTGGCAAATTAAAATTATTTCAGACACATGACAAGGAAGCCCTTAATGACAGAATATGTTTGTAAAGACATTTTGCTCGAGTACTAACCTTAAATTGAATAGTACTGTTGATGGCATCACTTACAAGCTCCCAATTTGGACCCATGTCATGTACAAGGACAACAAGTGCCTGAAAATATAAATACAATAACATTTCAAGGGCCTGGTCACAGTGCTTAACAGCAATTGAAGAATAAGTTCAAGAAAAGACAACAAAAGTTAACCTGATCTTCAAATAGCGACCATGGACTACCAGAACCTGGCTGACCAGTAGACATCTGGAAAAAATTTACATGGTTTTAATAATTACACCAGAGCCAAGACACCTAGGAAGCACATGATCAACCAGACTATCAAACAAAAGGGAGAAGAGCGAAATACCTTAGGTGTTTTGGCTTTTCTACCCCTGTCACGACCATGAATTAATCTAATGATTTTGCTGGGATTGGACATATTACTCATTTGGGACCCTACTGGTGAAGGGATAGATCCACTTGGAGTGATGTCAAATGAGTTATCTGGCTGTTGCTTCATTATCTTTGGCTTCTTGGCATTATGTTGCCCATATAAACCTAAGAAAAAGGCAATCGAAAATGTGAAGGGTGAAGAACAAAAGATATCAGAATACCAGATAGATATATCCAACCAAGTAACCAACCATTAAATCATATATATATACAAAGAGCTTTACCAGTGGTTCCATTAGAATCAAAATGATGACTGTCCTGTCTTTTTCTGGAATAATCCCTCTGCAAAAGAAAAGGCACCATCAAGCATGAGATTATCAATTAGAAAATTACCATGTAGAACAAAAAGGCAAACAAGAGGGAAGAACAGAAGAACATGCAGATAAAGTTCAATGCTGCATAATTATACTTATGATACCCTCATATCTACCATGGAAAACAGGAAGTCAACTTTGTTGCTACTATTACTTGGTCGGATGTAAGATTGAAAATACTAAAATGAATTCAGCTTTAAAAGTTTCCTTGATTGAAGAAATGGAAGAAAACCCGACTCAAAAGAAAATTTGGCAATCAACTTAAAAGCCAGTAATACCTTTGAAAATGAATCTCTTGCTTGATAAAATTACACTTTCATAAGTAACTTACAAGAGAACCTCAAAAGGTAATCACTCATCCAGGCAGAGAAAAGTTGAAATTCTTAACGATTTTAAGCTAGAAAGAAAATGATGAAGCAAAATAAAAGAAAAAAGTTCATTTATGTCAACATAAGCAACCTGGAAAACCTAATAAAATTCACCTGTTCATTCTGAACAGTAGACTCCAGCTGCCAACCCTGATCATACGCAGAACCCTACAAGAAACACAATTCTGGAACCTTTAGAAACCATGAAGACAAATAACAAAAATAATCCACACCATTCCAGGGATAAACAAACGCCCCGTGTCAGTTAAAACAGAAGAATTGCAACTTACAGGAATCTTGGTCTTTTTCTTCTTTTTAGGTTTTGTAGGTGTTTCTGCACAGTCATATGGTAGCTGCCTTTCAAAGTCTGCAATTGACTCAACCTCCATGCTTTTCTGGATCTGGAAGCCTCCATGCAAAGTACTCTGATCATCCTGAAAAGAATTAGTATCTCCACTAGAAGCATCTGTTTTTGCCGGTGCCTGTAAACCCCCAGCAGCAGCTGCACTGCTAAAAGGACTTAAAACCCTCTGCCTGGAACCAGTGCGGACACGTTTTGTTGGAATTGGACCGACATTTAGGCTACTGGCAGGCCTTTTTCCTATCAACATGGACTGCTGTGCACAGTTTCCATATGGCAAATCAGCACCCATTTCATATGGTCTTGCAGGATACGATTTCATTGGGTTCTTCCGCTTCTTCTGGTTTAGTTTTGATGATTTGCTACCTTCAAAGGCCCCAGGCAAATAATACGTACTGGTCTCTCCTTCATCCTCATCATACACAAAATCGCGATATCCAAACTCTGGATTCGAAGAAGTTGTAAGGAACAGAAGATTATTCAATGGCTAACAAACTCAGAACAAAAAAATGTCATGATTACCTGCTCCAGCATCATAAACAGAAGTTTCAATCTCCTCCTGCACACTACTCCCAGTTTTCTGAAAAAGAAAATATCATTCAATATTAAGCAAGATTGAGCAGAAAAGTTTCAATAGCTGCCTTTTGAGCAAATTAGCAACAAAATGCATATATGTTCTACAAGATAACTTTGACTGATGTTTTTTCAAATGAATTCACATTAGTCCAGAAAGAATTTTTTTTATAAAATACTCTCCCTCATTAGATATAGGGGAAGCAAAACAAAAAGAGCATGTATAAACTCATTAAAAGACCCCCATTTACCTCCGTCTGTACCAAATAAGATTCAATAGATCTTCGGTAGGTTTCCATAGCACCTGAAGGAACTGCATAGAAGAGGCTTTCCTGAAGATAAAGTACATACAATGTTTGAGCAAACAATGTAAACATAAAGAAACTATTTCTGCAAGTTACAGAACTCCACAATTGAGCATGTAGAGCTAAACACATACAACCTATTAAAAGAGATCGAAAAGTTACAATCAAAAGCCAACAATAAATTTATAAATGAACCTGAAAAGCTATGAAAAATTTTAAGCCATACTTCTGTTAGGTGTTCATCCCAAGAAATGTCCATAATGCCCAAGTCGGATATCCTGTCGGGTGTTGCCGGTGCTTCAGCTTGAAGTGATGGAACATGAGAGCTGGTATATTTCAAAAATCTGAGTGCATATGCCCGAATAGCTAGTTCATTGTTCTCTCCAGGGGCCTGCTGCTCCTTACTTGTATCCTGCTCCATAACATGTTTCACATAAAGATAAGAAAGAAAGAACAATATTTCAAGGATCTGACACAACTAGAACATGAATACGAGGGAACCATTCGGCATCTTTCACAAGACCAAAAACGGGAAGGCAGGGCAGAATGAGACCAAACAGCCCTAGAGCTATAACTCAATTCCAGATATTTAAGTGGTTATCCTGGATCCTACTTCTGGAATTCAAAGGCATTTATGAATTTTTGACTGAATGTTTGATAACTGAATTTTCAACTGAATGTTAACTTATCATCCAGAGTCTCTATGAGCTCAATCATCAAATAATCCAACCAGCTGCAGCAAGTCAACACACTTAGAAAACCATGGGAGCATATATATAAGAAAACACAATTAAGATCCAAATAGGAAAACATGACTACAATCCATATAACTACCTAAGTTCCCAGCAACCTCTTCTCTACATATTTAAAAAAAGTCACTTCCTCCCCAGATCAAGTAAATTACCTTCATAGCATGTGAAAGATACAGTGTATTGAATAACAGAACTTATAAGCAGCTAACAACATGACTGATCATACAAAACTGATAACTGAAGTTGAAGAATATAAACGAAACAAGCACCAACATTAATAAGCAAACATACAAAATTATCATCATTTCTATCATCAGAAAGAGAGGCATGCATATATTGATTAAAAAATAAAGACCAAGAAAAGTCCAAAAATATAACCAGTACCATATCAAGTTCTGCAGTCTTGTTCTCAGAAACTTCACTGGCCTCAATTACCTTTGACCTTACCAAATCATGGTCACATTTCTTTGGACCAAGACTTGCATCCTTACTATTTAGAAGCACCTCTGCTGAATGCCAAAACTCCATGACAGCATTAGCAAGGGTTAAAGCTACTCTTTTGAGTTTCCAACACTGATTCTGTTCTTCAAATTTCAATCGTGAAGTCAAAGCAACACGGTGACATATTTGAGCAGCAGCAGTCATTTTCCAAAGACGCTCCTATAAGCACATAAAGAATGAAAAAGGGAAGTTTATAGGCAAATTTTGTCAATTATGTTCTCTAGTCAACTTCATATACAGGTACATTAATTGAGTAAAGCCAATAAACAGAAAAGTTCTCAATAAGAAGGGAAAAAGAACAAGAAGAATGCATAAGATGAATTTAATTTTATATTCTATAAGAAAATAATACCTGAGCAAAATCATTTGCCAACCATGCCATTTCCTCAAGGACAAAATCCCAGTGAGATTTTCGGCAATTCTCCAAGGGTAATGTACCAACAGATAGCTCTGCAATCCTTTTCCGTTTAGCCTGTTTACCATAAAGCCAGACCTTTTAAGCTTTTTAAAGACAAAAAAGTTCTATTTAAATTTAAGAAATCACTGGGCATATATCAATCAATAAGATAAACAAACCACCTCTATAATCCGTGCCTCTTCCAAGATGGAATCTTCATGTGCCTTGTCCACCACTTTGACATGATTATCTGAACTAGTTTGTGGATCAGCAGTAGTAATAGAGGTTCTTCCTGATAAAGTCGTCTGAGGAATCTCACAAGTAGAGTTATCCATTGTGCCTTGAGGCCTACTAGCAGAAAAAATTTCCTTGTTGGAGTTGGCATCATCACCCAACAAAGTACAAACTTTCCTATCAGCTTCTGATACAGCATGACTGCTCTGTTGCGCCTCATTGTTGGAAGGACAACTAACCTCATTTTGCAATTCAGATCTAATTTCTTCCTCCATTTTTACAAAAGAATCTTTAACAGAGTGATTTTGATTCACAGAAGTATTAGTATCACAGAGAACAGCAGCATTATCAACACCCTTGATCTCATTCTTTTCTTTTGCCAATTCAGCAACAGCTAAGTTTTGTGATTCCTCTATTTCTGACGTTTGTTCCATGGGCTTTCCATTAGAATCAACATTTTTTGGATTTATACACATATCATTATCATTATTTACATCTAAGCTTAGGCTGTTTTGTGTGCAAGAGGACTCCGAATCCAATCCCTTTGACCCTATTGCTGCACTGCTATTTTGTCCTTCATTTGGTATGTTTTTCCTATCTCTTTTGGCATCACCAAAGCCATTCAGCTGATTAGAACCAATTTCATTTTCAGCTTTTGTCACACCTGTACCAGGGGGACATCCAAGACCAGTTGAAACTACCTGCTCCTTCCCTCTGACAAGATCAGGTTCCTCAAAAGCCAAGTTAACTGGAGATTTATGAGCCTCCACTGGAGCAGGTTCATTAGGCAGGTCGTCTGTCACGCTTTTGGAAGCTGTAGCATCAACCTTGGTTTCAGATAGATCAGCTTTTGACTGCTCAGTCATATCTTCCACAGCCTGACCACCATCCAACTCCATATTCAACTGATTATCAGAAGTTATCACCTTTGAAGCCAAATCACCATTTGAAGTTGCAGATTTTGCAGTATTAACAGAGGGATTATTCTTGTCCTTTTGGTTATTTATTTCAGATGTCAAAGCCTTCACATCCTTTGATGCTCCACGAGCAGGTAAAGAAGAGCCATGACCACCTCGACCCTGAACCATATCCGTCGAACTTGATCGAGCTCCATCTCGATTTATTTTGGACCTGTTCCTTCGAGCATATGGGCGAAAAATAGCAGAATCTTCAGATTCCTTGGCATTTTGAGTCCCATCCATCTGAGAAGATTGTTCTGACGGAGCAACAGTATTCCTCTTACGAGGATGCATAGACTTTCTTTCACCTTCAGGCAACTCACTTTCACCATCAAAAAGTAGGAGGTTATCAGCACTATTGGGTTCACAAACTGCACGAACCCCTGGTCTACCACTACTCTCTACGGAATCACCATGAGGTGAGGCAGTCAGTGCAAAGCTACCTTTCGCTTCACTGTAATAATAATGGACAGAGGAAGCATCAGCCAATTACTCCAATACAATTTAGAACCATAATTCTGTAACACACAGCTGTAAAAAGAATATACCTGGTAACAAAATGCTCTGCTTGCTGATCAGTGAGAGAAGTCGACTGGACACTAACTGAAGCTGCATTGCCAAATTTGAAATCCAGGGGATTGCCACCCTGACAGCAAAGCATCTTATGGTAAATTTTAATTTATAAAAAATTGGACGTAGCAAGAGAAGATAAAAATGCATACTTTCTCAAGAAACTCTAGTTCCCTTCTCCTTTCCTCTCGAACATCATACTCCTGCCTGTTACAGACAAGAGCAAAAACTAAAATAAAAACAAGTTGCCTGCATTTACGGATGTGAACCAAGTTTTCTAGGAAATTTAGAAGGGGTATGAGGAAACAAAAATAGAATGTAAGCATCACCTAAGCTCTGCTTGAGCCTTCTCAATTGCAGCTCTGCGCGGAGAGGTTTTGACACCAATCCCGACTCCGCCATCAACAACCCCTCCCATGGAATCAACCTCAGCATTTACTAGGAGAGCAGATCCTGAGTTACATCCATGCATCCCTACCTAAATATCTAGAGGCTTGCCCCTCCCATCAATTCAAAAAGAAGATATTGTTGAATACCTAAAAATGGAAAAGAAAAAACCAAAATAACAAATACAGTAAATAAAACTAAGGTAGCCAAAAATGGTAAAACTAAGGCAAACAATGAATTGCAAAGAGGCAGCAACAACTATGAACATATAGTTTTACCTCCAGTCAGTTGCATTGCAGTCACCCTCACAATTTCAGTAATAACAATTTTCTTCATTCAATAAATATTAAAGTTTTGTCCCCAAAGAAAGCAAAAAAAATCAAATAAAATAAAATTTGCCACAATTCACAATTGTAGAAATTGATTGCAAACTGCTATCATCAAACTCACTCAAGAAAATTAAAGAAAAGCAAGTTTATCAGGAGCTCAGATATTTATGAAACCAACACCGAAAGACAAGGTAGAAACTCTGAACAAATGGACAAAAATACATGAAACGAACGAACTATGCATGCAGCATATGCATTGTTTACCATAAGAAGGATCACTGTATACAGATTATTCCTCAGAAAGAAAATAGTACATTGATTTGAAAGAACAAATTGTAAGCATATAATGACTTGAACAAGGTTAAGGAGCAACAATATTATTCCACAAGAGTGATTTTCCTGCAAATAAAGGTGCTTCCTACTTTATTTCTCTTTTTTTCTGCAATGAGTTGACAGAAGGAAAAAAAAAAGTGTTACATAAGTAGATCATCAATAGCACATCAATCACATATTTTTACCTCTTAATTTCCCACTTGTCCATAGTAGTTTGAATATAACCAAACTATCACAAAAGGCAGTTAAAGTTCATTCACCACCTTATATTAATTGGAAAACTCAGACAACAAATTGAACTTGCATGAGTAGCCACTAAGTTTAGTACAGTTAAAAAGCTTCGAAAAGGAAATGCATACCCCGCCATTTATTGGAATGCCTAAAGCAACGCTGAATTATAGTAATTAACTACTCTAGCACTGCCATCCAATATGCATACTTCATATCATAAATAAGCATACATATAGAAGAAGATAATAATAGCATGAAAGAGCTTGGCACCAGCAATTCTCTTCAAATTCCAGGAAAAAACCACTAGAAGTCAAAAATCAGTAGCTAAACAATGAAACGTAGAGCCTAATGAGCTTCCTCGGCATTGAACTTCGAATTAATGTAAATAAACACATAAGAAGACCACTTAGCACGTAAATCCACAAGCATTCAATCGAAACGCGCAAAAAATAGCACAAGAGCGAGAAATAGAAACCCTAAACGCATTGAATCACGCAAATTGTGCCCTAATTTGAAACATTACTCAAATTCTAGGGTTTACAAAAGAAAACACGAACAAAAATTAAGCGCGAAAATAACCTGAATTGGGATACGGAGTTGAACAATTGGGAGCTAGGGCAAAGCACCGGGGAGCACCTGAAACGTTCCCGCTCTTTTTAAGACTCTCGTTACCTCTCCCTCTCTCTCGCTCCTAGGGTTTTGAAGCTTCGAACCCTTCTCAACGTCCTGCCCTCAATCAAAACGACACGAATTAACCCTAAAATGCAACATCTCCCTGCAAATGCCAGCCATGAGCGCGTTGTCGAGTCTCCCTTTATCAAGAGTCCTTTGTGTAATTTTTTCGTTTTCGCTCTCTAAAAAATAGTTGGTTTTATTTTTTTGGTGATTTTTTTGTTTTTGTTTTTTTACTTTTTTGTTTCTGTGTGTAGGTTTTGTTTGGCTTCGCTGCTTTTCGGGGTTACTATGCGACTCCTCTCAGTGAGTAATGGGCTTGGGTTTTTCCTGAGGTAGACGACGAGCATCCGAGGGCTTCTAGCTTTCGGGTACTCTTTGGGCTTTTTAGTCAGTTTATTACAATTTTCTATATTATTATATTCTTCTTTCCTTCCCATTTTTTTACCTCACGGATTTAAGAAAAATATTTTTACTTTAATTATTTAATAAAAAATTTTAAATTTCTATATAAAATGATGTTCCGTGATTTTGTTACATCAAAAAGTTTAAACAATTATGATAAATAAATTTAAAAATGAAAAATATTAATATATTAATATTCAAAAAAAGAATAAGAGCTTTGTTTCGAAACATTGAAAAAAACAATTAGACAAACAAAATAGAATGAATAAGGGATGTACATGTATATTCTCGAAATATCAAATGCTACTATTAAAATATTATTATTCATAATAATGGTTTGATCTTTAAAACATACAAGATTTGCTAAAAATATTACTATACTAATTCATTTTCGTTATGATCTAGATGATAAACAAGCAAAAGTATTTTGGAAGTGGAAATTCAAAATTTTTTATATATTATCTAAAAAAGTTTCTAAATTATTTAAAAAAATTTAAATAATTTTTTATTTTTCTATTGCATTCAATCAAATCTTTATAACTAATAGTTAGTCAACTGTTATTATTCAAAATGTCACTTATTATTTTATGTCATATGATACTAATGTAACATACTGATATATTATAACAGGTGATGATGAGGCATAATGACATGGTTATGTAACATTTTTCATACTCCATGTCGATATCATATAGACATAAAATAAAAAGTGATATTTTTACTAATGATAATTAATCAATCGTTAGTCAAAAGGATTTATTAAACTCAAAATAAAAGTATAAAGGTTCGATTGAACGTAATAAAAGGATAAAAATTTATTTGATTTTTTTAAATAATTCAGCGACTTTTTCAAATATTATGTAAAAAATTTTTAAGCACTAAACTATTATTGGCTTAAACTTTTTGTTAATTAATGGTTATAAATGGTTTGTTTGTTGATTACTGAGTGACAACAATGGGTGGTACAAATTTGAAGGGTATTTTGGTGATTTAATTATTATTTAAAGCCAATAAAAATGGTAGTACTTTTATTAGCTTTTGCAAAATGATCCTATTTTGAAATGACCAATTCAAATGATCAAAAATTGTGACTTATGACTTTAAAACTTACAAAAGTCCTTATGAACATTTACACAAAAAATAACTAAGTGTTTGGTAAAAGAAAAGCTCAAAAATGCCTTTAAAATAAACTCTCATGCCAAAGGATCAAGACATTCTTTGTAAGTATCGAGACTTGGTCAACTTAAGAGTAAATTAAGAAGAGCTCAAGTGGAAAGTATCGAGACATCTTCAGAAGTATCGAGATTTGACTAACTTGAGAGTAAATTTAGAAATGTCCAATTGAAAAGTATCAAGACATATCCCATATGTAATGAGACCTCTCAACCTAAGAGCAAAAGTTAAAGATACATGGGCAAAAGTATCGAGACATAAGGTAAATGTATCAAAACTTTGGAAATAGAAGCATTCTGTTTCAAAAATATTGAGACTTGGAAAGGAAGTCTCAATACCTTACTCAAACAAGAAGACATGTCACTAAGAAAAGCATCAAGACCTACATTGAAATCTCAATACCTACTTAAACCCAGAAGAAAAGTATCAAGATCTCAGAGAAAGTATTGATACTTCTAGCCTGATAAACATGAAAAAGACAACTGTAATGGCTAGTTTTTGCATTAAATGCAAAGTAATGACTCCAAATGACTTTCAAGCCTTAGATTGAAGACTCAATATCATTTATGAAGCTAAAAAGACTCTGAAAAAACATTTCTTATAGTTGATTTTAAACTTCTTAGTTAGGCTAAGGGATTAGACATAGGTAAGGAGGTCAAACCTTTAAAAAATCTTTTGTGTATTTTTTTCTATCAATCATTAGAGTGTTTGATTTACTTGATAAATTGATGGAATTTCAAAAACATCTCGAAAGAAATTTTTTTTTCAAATTCGCTCTTTCAAGTTTTAAAGTATTCCAAAAAAAGTTGTAAAAACAATTCTAAGTTTTCAAGAATTTTTAACTTTCAATTCACCCTTCCTCTTGGAAGAATATTGTTGTTATTTAAGGTTACAACTTTAATGACGGAATGGTGGATGGAAAAAACCATTGGCATGTGGTCGAAAATACTCTCGTCATTAATGGTCATTTTGTTGGTGTTGGAAAAATTTGTCACAATATGCTCTGACGGAATAATTCATCGTTCTATTCATCAGCAGAATACTAAATTCGTCAATTGTAGGATTGGTCGGTGAAATAGAAATTTAGTCAATAAATTCCATCGATAATGTACCAATGGAATTTATCGATGGATTGGAAACAGACCTTATTATAAGTTTCTGTCAGCGAAAATTGTGAATTTGTCAGTATAAAAAAATTTTTAAATTGCCTTTAAAAATAAGGATAAAAAATTAAATATGTATGAGTACAAATATATAAGAGAAATATGTAAGAGAACTAATTTATAATGTACAACAAATATTTTATTAAATTTAAAGCCTCAACTTATGCAAAGGAATTTAAGCATGAAAACAAGGTTCGCCTAGTGATTTTGGCCAATTAATGAGTATATTGTTTATAAAAGATTTCATCTATGCATATATGTTATTACCTGTCTTAGTAAGTTTTGAATTGAGTATGCTGAGTTTTATAAGTATAGGGCATAATGCCACATATGCACATAAATTGGAACATGAGCAACTATATGATATGAACTTGTAAGGCACAAATATGTTTAATGTCATAAGAGCTGAAATTTAATGACTCTGTGTGAATATGTGAATATATAAACATATGCATGATAAAATAAGGTAAAGTATGATGTTGGTCATTAGAACATGAGATGTGAAATGCAAACATATGCACACTTGAGCTTGATCATATTAAATATGACTTGCGGATATTGGATATGAATGTATCAATATATGCATGATGAGTGTTTACATAATGGCATTTATATGCAAACAACCCATAATGGCATTTAGCTTAATTGAAATTAAATGTCCAAAGGACGAATAAGGAAATAATTATGCTTTAAGATGTATTTTGATGAGTTTAAAGTATGTTTGATGATTAAATGATGTAAGGTAAAGTGGAAATGTTCTTGACATTTGAGCTGTAATTCTGAGTTCCAAGGATAATAGTTGAAATCCTTTAATTTATAATGTTAAGTTTCCAAAGATAATAAGTAGAATCCTTGGAACTATGATTTTAAGCTTCCAAGGATAATATGCAGAATCTTGGGAATTGTGATTTTAAGCTTTCAAAGATAATAAGCAAAATCCTAGAATTTGTGGTTCCAAGGTTAATATTAGATATCCTTGTGTTGTGGTCTTAAGTTTTCGAGGATAATATTCAATATCCTTGAGCTGTAACTTCCAAGGTTAAGACTTAAGATGCTTGGTTTGTGATTCTAAGTTTCCAAAGATAATAAATAATATCCTTTATCTGTGGTGTACATCATGGACAAACTTTGAGAGAAGGACTAAATTGAAAAGAAAGAAAATATTAAAGGACTAAATTGAAAAAGAAGAAAATGTTGAGGGACCGCAGTTAAAAGAATGAAAAGTTTGGAAGATCAAATTGAAAAGAATGAAAAAGTTTGGAGGATCAAATTGAAAAAAGGTAAAAAGATAAGGGGTTAATGGGTAATTAACCCAATATATCCACCTTTCAGAAAAACAGAAAAAAAAAAGGGAAAACAAGAGGTTAAAACCATGGGTTTCAAAGCAACATAGGTTTTTTCACCTGACAACATTGGTTATTCCACCCATTTTATTTTTTTAAAGTTTATTTTGAAGTTTTCTCTCTTTTAGTTGAATGCATGTTGCCCCTCATCGATTTTGAGCTTCCAAATTGATGAATTGAGGCTTAGAAATTAGTAACCAAGGTAAGAGTATGCTTCTAGTGCTCGATCTTTAATTTAACCGATTATAATTCTTAATTTGATTATGTTCTAGCCACTATTTTCTCTCTTTAAGCTTGAAGGTTTTGAAGATTTTAATAATTTTAATCTCGCTATTAGGTGGCGTTTGATATCAGGGAAGTGAGAGCACATTCCCTGCAATGTGTCCAATTAAATTATATTATAGTGTTTGTTTTGTAATAGACTACTACAATGTAAGATTGCAATGCAATCACATTACATTGCACTCTGCAATGTTCTTAAAGACAATTTTACCCTTCAACTTTATTACCTTATTAAAAATATTTTATATTATTATAATTAAAATAAAAAATATTAAAATAAAATATATAATATAAGAATAAAAAATTAAAATAAAATAAAATATAAAAAATTAAAATTTATATAATATAGGTAAAAAAATTAAAATAAAATATATAATATAAAAAATATATTAAAGAAATAAAAATAAAATATATAAGATTATAATAATAAATGAAAATAAAATATATGACATTAAAAATATATTTAAGAGATGATATTATATAAAAATTAATAATAAAAAATATAAATATATTAAAAATAAAATATATAAAATTATAATAATAAATGTAAATAAAATATATGACATTAAAAATATATTTAAGAGATGATATTATATAAAAATTAATAATAAAAAATATAAATATATTAAACTTGTATTTTAATAACTAAGGGTAATTTTGAAAATTAACATTACTTTTCCAGTAAAGTACTTATAAACTAAACGCTGCAATGTTATTTTCCCTGCATTTTAATCATTATTTTGCTTGCATACCAAATACTGTAATGTTATTTTCCCTGCAATCACATTACTTGCAATCATATTACCTGTAATCACTTTATATTGTAAAGTACCAAACGCCACCTTAAGGTATGGATTTGATCTTTATTTGATTAAGATACTTAAGGTTGCTGTTTGAAGCATGG